CCTCACCACCCCCAGAGTAAAGAACTTCTTCCTAATCTCTGATCTAAATCTACCCTGCTCTGGTTTAAAACCGTTGCCCCTTGTCCTATCACCACATGCCCTTATCAAAAATCCCTCCCCAGCTCTCCTGCAGCCCCCTCAGGCACTGGCAGGCCAAGAGAAGGGCTCCCCAGAGCTTTCCCTTCTCCACGCTGGACCCAACTCTCTCAGCCTGTCCTTGTAGGAGAGGTGCTCCAACCCTGAGCACCTCTGTGGTCTCCTCTGGACCCACTCCAACAGGTCCATGTCCTTCTTGTGTTGGGGGCTCCAGAGCCCCCAGGTCAGAGCTCCAGGGCCACAGCCAGCATTGTGAGCTGTGCCCTGCCTCAGGGCCTGCTGCAAGCACGCCTGGAGGAGGCAAAATCTGCTCTTGAAGCAAGCCCCCACCAGCTCCAGGCATTGCCTGAGAGTGATGAGCTGTAGGAAGAAACCAGTCATCAGGACCATGAAGAAGAATCTCCTTCCACCCACAGCGCAATCTCACGGGGTCAGGGCTGCAGCAGCCCCAGGTCCCACCACAGAACACGAGAGCTTCCCCACTCTCATCACACCCCCTCACTCGAATCCACCTGCAGACTTTGGCGAGGGAAAATAAGATTTCCAGTCAAGAATGAGGGATGGAAAAATACACCCCAGCTCTCCCCTTAGAGTGAGCACTTTGAGGCTGGGGTCCCACCCGTGGGGGCTGTTGCTGACCAGATCTGCTCAGAACCAGCACGTCCCACATCTGGCCCCAAGATCCATTCACAGAGCGAGTGGCAGGACAGGGCGACCATCCTGAGAAGCGCAAACTCCAAAATCGTTGAGATAATTTGGCAAAGCAACAAGAAGGTGAAGAGTTCTGGGAAATACAACCCATGAGGAACCAGCAACTGAATTGGGGTTCTTGGTCCAGGGAAGAGAAGAACGAGGGAGAACAGAATAAAGGGAGAGCTCAGACACATAAAAGGCAGCAGGAAAAAGGCAGGGCACGGCCAGTTCCCACTTCCACTGTGCATGGGACAGTCCTGGGCTAAAAGCGTAGCCAGGGAGATTAAAGCTGGCACCAGGAAGAAATAACTGTCCAGACAAGAAAGCTCAGGAATGGTTTGTTCCTGGAGGTGGGGAAGGGAAGTTTCTGTCCCTTGAGGTTTAAGAACATTCCACTGATGCTTCTCAGGAGAGGGCTGACCCCAGCTGAAGCAACAGGACAGCCCAGGCAATCTCTCCTTTCTCTTCTTCCCCTCATCTTCTATCCCCGGTTGCTCCGGCCCGATGGTGGCTGCAAGCGCAGGACGTGAGCCCGTGGATGTCGGGGCAGCCGGCGAGCAGGCAGGGCTCCCGGGACGGGCTCAAGACGTGCTCAGGGAAGGGGGAGCCGAGCCGGCTGCAAAGTCGCAACGTGCTTCTTTGCAGCAGGGACGTCAACGCGCCAGAAACACGACAGCCCGTTCCTAACTCCCTTTTCGTTGCTCTTTTTCTGTGGAGGGAAAGGGCAAGTCTAAAAGCTACCGGGAGGCTGCAGGCAAAGCCACCTCCTCCCTAAGGAAAGAAAGACAGAGGACACGCAGCCCTCCTACGAGGAGGTTTTTATAGTCTGTGCGGGTAAACTCTTGTCCCCAGGGCGTGTTTGTACAGTACATCTGGACACCAGGTTGCTCAGCTTGCATAGCACAGAGAACAATAAAAGAAATTAAAATCTCTATTTGCTTTCTGCATTTCCTTGTGAGGAAAGACAAAGCAACCTTTCATCCCTGCCAAGCTGACTTCTGTCCAGGGGAGACACACCAGTTTTTGCACGTGTCCTTTAGGAACAAGTTCTCCAGAAAAGGGCGTGGAGGTGTCCGAAAGTTTGAATTCACTGGGCTGGAAGGCATATTGCCCCTAGAAAATGTTAAATTAAAGAAGTTGAAAGCTCCTGGAATCAGACTTTTCAGCTTCTGGAATTAGACTGGTTATAAATGCCGAGGTGGTGTGCAGCCAGTTTCTCCTAGATGGACAGACGGGTACGTAAAATAATGAAATTACACTGTAAATATTTGGCTAAAATTGCCTTTTTTCAATCAACACAGCTGAGAAAACCCAATGCCCGGGAGCCCGGCTTGCAGCCAAGCTACTGCTGCCTCTTGTCTTCCCTTTGAGATGGAGAAATACTAAAAAACAAGGGGGCAAAAAAAAAAAAAAAGGCAAAAAAAAAAAGCATGAGCAGCTTTTTTCCTGCTCTATTGTACTCTCCTACTTCCTGGTGGCTGAAGGACCATTCCTAGGAACACATTAACTAAGCCAAGAACACTAAACATAACCCAGGAAAAAAGCAGAACATGCCACGCTCCTAGGCTGCTCTCAAATATTTGCTCCAATATTATTTGCATCACGTTCTCTTCGTAGCCCTGCTCTCCTGCTGCTTCCTATTCGGCTCAGCAAGTCCCAGATCTTATCCGGGTTTGTGAAACGTGACAGCTCTAAGCCTCCGTCACTCAGCCCAAGGAAGCGTGGTCCACAGCAGAAGCCACGGCCTGAGCGGGTCTACAGGAGAGCAAGGCACCAGCTCGGACTAACTCAGCAGCAGAAAGGTCCTACGGGGGAAAAAAAAAGTTCAGGCACCTCGCGGAGGCTTAATTTCAATGGAGAGATACAGACGAAGAGGAGGAGGAGGCCCATCTGCCGCAGCTTTGACAACCGCAGCATCTCCTTTCCTCAGGGTGGGAGACAGGCTCCAGGGAAGAGTGCTGCCAGGGCTGAAAAACCCGTGTTTAAGGTCATGTCATCCCAAGAAAGCACCTTCGGCAACTGCTTAGCTTCCCCTGGTCTCGATTTTGCCGTTTGCTTGCCAGGAATAGCGGCATCAGGTTCCCTCCAAGAGCCTGAGAGGATGCACACACCAGAGAAGACGAGGCATGCAGATAAGAGAGAGCAGATAAGAGCCGAGGAACCCAGCTCCTTCCAGGCAGAGTTGAGAAACCAGTTCCTACCAGCCGATAAGCACAAAACAATTGAGTCTGCCCAGGGTCCCTTCCCAGCAGAGAACCACCCCCTGAAAACAAACGGCTGCCACGTTTGTCCACGGCTGCTGAGGAAAGCCATTGCGCCGGCGAGACGAGCACGCGGCAAAGAGCCTCTCACCCAGCCCCGCTCTGTCCCTGCCCCGCTCCGGGAATTATCGGCCTGAAAACAGACACAGCTCCCACCTCCTTTGTCGTTGCTCTGTCCAGACCCACCCTGCACCTGCTTTCGCCTCCCAGCCCAGCTATTGTCT